TTAATAGAAAAGTTGTTTTCATTGTATAGATATAACACATCCTTGTATTTATAGGAGATTGCAATGCGATGCAATCATAGATTAAATCTGTTACAAAGTAATATTACTTATAAATCATAATAAACAAGGGTGTATACAAGGGGAGGGGATAGGGGTAACACCCCCCTTTGAACTCAAACCAAAACCAAAAGATCTTGAAAACCCCGTTATCTCTAAAAAAAACTTTTGGGGTTTTTATATATTATACATAGACTAGATCTTTAAAAATCCTACAATTTCTAGACTTCTGAAAAAACCCAGAATGTATCTTGAATTTGCACGTTGCGATATCCTTATTTATGTAAAAGAATACAGGAGGCATTGATGTTGAAAAGGAATTTGAAAAGAATTTATTCAAACATTCTTTGCAACACACAGTATACTGCGTAATATTCGTCATCAAGAAATTATTGTAGACAAGGTTACAATGCAAGGAAAGTTATTTCAGAGGTGTACACATCTTTTGTACTGCAGTGTACTGTCTCTGGGCGGTAATTTAAACACAAGCCGGATGTCGAAGCCTCACATGGGATCCATCTTTCACACAAAAAATCAATGAAATATTCTGGTCACAGAAAACTTTTATGTGAATTATCAAAATTATCAAAATTTAATGCTTTTAAGCTCCTCGGATACTAAACGAACACTGATGCATTTATTCTTGTATACAAATTCCGCCCAGAGAGAACTGGTTTCAATATATATTCAGAGTATACGCAACTGCAATTAACTTTCCTTGCATTATAACCTTGATTGTAGATATATCTGTAGATAGCCATGAACGTGGTGTACTGCAGTGTACTGCGGTGTACTGCAGTGTACTGCGGTGTACTGCATTGTACTGCAGTGTACTGCGGTGTACTGCGGTGTACTGCAGTGTACTGCTGTGCTCTACAGTGCACTGCGGTGTACTGCAGTGCACTGCGGTGTACTGTAGTGTACTGCAAATTACTGAAGCGTATGGCAGTGTAGTACGCAAAGCAATCAAATGTGAATCATGAGTTTGTTAATAAATATTTATTTTATCTTGTAGTAAACAGAACCTTTTCGGAATTTTATACCATGTTTTGTCCATGTTAATTAGGAATTAAAAAATACGTTTCTTCTGCTGGCTGAAACAACGGGTGAAATATTACAAACGTCTTTAAGCTCTTATTTAAGAATTGTACACCGAAAAAATATGTCATTGGCATCAAAGGAATCCTAAAGTTTTTCTTTACAAAACTGCACTTTCACCTCAACTATGCTACATTACCGATCCCTCCTTAGACTAAAGTAAATTGCAGATTGAAATCATATCATAACTCCATCTATTTTTGAGCTATTGAGAAGAAAAAATATGTTATGGATTTCTAATTTACAACAGGATAATTTTGCTATTAGAGCTACGAGGTACGGAAGTTGTACCAAAAATGTCTAGTTTCCAGTGATACTTCAATATTGGATTAAAACCACTTCCTTTCTGTCAAATTATAATTTTCAACAACATTTCCAGAGAACTCCATTATACAAATTTAAGACAACAGGCAAATTGGATTAATTCAATAATATTCTTTACAATTAAGCTATTGAACCATATGAATTTTGGTATGATCCAGGTATCATTTAATTTAAACGAAGAGGTACGCATGGATTTCAGAAAACAAGTGAAAATTTGCCAAGAGCATATTTATTATTGATCCATTTTTTCGAATTTATAGAGTTATTAGTTTTACTTAAAAAGTTCATAAATTCATTGTCTTATAATTCAACAAAAAAGACTGGAAACCCTATGATTAAATAATAATAATGAAAATAATGAAGTCATTAAAAAACCCTCTTCCCTTTGAATAGTTTTATCATCCAAGTTTTTTTTGCTAATTTATTTGATTTTCCATATCAACAAATCAGGGTTCAACATTTTTCACATCTAAAAAATGATCAAGATACTAACTTTTTTCTTATAAATACTAAGCTAATAAAACTAATCCAATACTGAGAAAGCACAGTATGCTCTTGATATAAAATCTCCACGTGGATTTCGATTAAATACGCCCCCCCCTACACATCCAGTCTGACCAGCGTCAACCTGCCCAGTAATATCCACTGACTAGTAAAGGGCGCAAAATTTGCCATGGTACAGATAGAAAGGCAAAAGTTGGGATCCTGTAAAAAGTATAAAAAAGAATGAAAATTCTGAAACTTCACCAGTTCTGCACTACAGTTTTACAGCTGCAGGTAAGGGGAACTAGTGGCAGGAAACATATCCGTAAAGAGAGAAGATGCTAAACCTTTTTTTCAGAAAAGTGGAATTGAACAATTTTTAATCATCTTAAAATTGAACTTTTAAAAAGTTTTGCACATACCCAAAGTACTCATCTTAATCTTTGTTACTGAGGAACTTTGTTTCAAAGAATGTAAGACATACATTTTATAGCAAAAACACATTGTTAATCTTATTCTTCTTTCTTGGCTGTAAATAGTGTATTTATATTTTAATAAATTAAACCTTCCAGCTATTAAAGCATATCTTATCTGCTTCCTTGTAGAGTTTATAACTCTCTACGTAGTTATGTGTTATATATATTCGTACATGTATGTATATTGTAGATATGATACATTTGCATTATTTGTTTGATGTAAAAATTAATTGATCATTAATTTTACTTTTCTAATCAACATTGCTGTAAAGATATTTTGATAGGAAGCAACAACTTGTTTCAGCTTGGACAACATTTTCACTGTTTGAATTAAAAAGAGAAATCTTATCTGTAAAATGACGCTAATTGTTGTTTTTTTCCAACCAATATTGCTGGTTACTGGGTAAAATATTTTTTTCTTCTCTAATATAAAAATGTTAATATAAAAACTGCCACAATGCCTGGACATATCAAGCTTGCTAAAGGACAGGTTGTTCCTGATCCAACTGAATTCTTGGTACCTTCCATTGAAGTCAAAAGATCTGACCAGGCTAAACCTTATGACAACAAGAAGTCTGTCTGGATCCCTGATCCCAAAACTCATGGATATCTCGAGGGAATCCTTTGAGTCTGGAGATATTGAGGATGATCCAGCAAGCAAGTGTGTTGTTTCTGTGGGTCATGAAAAAATTACCCACAAGGCTTCTGAGGTTGGAAAAGTTAACCCTCCCAAGTTTGAAAAATGTGAGGACATGGTTAACCTTACTTTCCTTAATGACGCATCTGTCTTCTGCAACTTGAAGACCCGTTACCAGGTTAAGTTGATCCATACCTACTCTGGTCCTTTTGTTGTAGTTGTAAACCCTTACAAGTGTTACCCTCTTTACACTCATCGTTGCTCCAAGATCTACTTGGGTAAAAGACGCAATGAAGCTCCTCCTCATTTGTGGGCTGTAGCCAAAACTGCCTACCGTGGCATGTTGCAAAACTCTAAGGATCAAGCTATGCTGATTACTGGAGAGTCTGGTGCAGGAAAAACTGAAAATACCAAGAAGGTAATTACTTATCTGGCAATAGTAGCAACTTCATCAGGAAAGAAAGTTGAGAAGAAGGTCTCTTTAGAGGATCAGAGTGTAGCTACCAACCCTATTCTTGAATCCTATGGAAATGCCAAAACCTCTAGGAATGACAACTCCTCTCGTTTTGGTAAATTCATTAGAATTCATTTTACTAATTCAGGAAAACTAGCTGGTTGTGATATAGTGTCTTATCTTCTGAAAAAGTCCCATATCACTGAACAGCAATCCGTTGAAAGATCTTATCATATCTTCTACCAACTGCTCCAGCCTTTTGGTGATGGCATTGGAGGAGGCCTGAGAGAGAAATGCAGACTTAGTACTGATATTTATGATTACACTTATGTGTCCCAGGGTAAAACCAAAGTTGAATCCATTGATGACAATGAAGAGCTGGAATACACTGAGGATGCCTTTACTGTTCTAGGATTTGGTGAACAGGAGAAGTTGATTGTTACATGCTCACTGCTGCTGTCATGACTTTTGGTGGTGTTGAATTCAAGACCAAGGGAAGAGATGACCAAGCTGAGTGTGAGCTTGTTGGATCTGAGACCTTCCCAGGAAAGGCTGCAGCTCTTTGTCGAGTTGACAGTAATGCCATGATCAAGGCTTTCTGCAAACCAAGAATAAAGGTTGGAACCGAATGGGTAACCAAGGGCCAGACTTGTGAGCAAGCTGGCAATTCTGTTGGAGGTATTGCTTGTGCAATTTTTGATAGAGTCTTTAAATGGCTGATTGAAAAGTGTAATGACACTCTAATTGATCCTACTTTGAAGAAAAACAACTTCTGTGTTGTACTTGTTATTGCTGGATTTGAGATCTTTGAGTACAATGGCTTTGAACAAATTTCCATCAACTTTGTCAATGAAAAGCTTCAACAGTTCTTCAATCATCACATGTTTGTTGTTGAGCAAGAAGAATATGTAAAGTAAGGAATTGACTTGGTTATGGTAGATTTTGGTATGGATTTGGCTGCTGCTATCATTATGTTTGAAAAACCCATGGGAATCTGGGCTATTCTTGAGGAGGAATCTCTCTTCCCTAAGGCAACTGACAAGTCTTTTGAAGAGAAACTTAAGGCTTCTCTGGGAAAACTGCCAGTCTTCTTGAAGCCCCAGTCCAAGACAGATAAGAATGCTCACTTTGCTATTTCTCACTATGCTGGCGTTGTATCTTACAATGTTACTAACTGGCTGAAAAAAAACAAAGACCCTGTTAATGACTCATTTGTAGTGGTATTCAAATCAACTTCCACTGTTGAACTCCTTGTCCACTTGTGTAGAGATCATCCTGGATAACCTCTTGTAACATCAAAGGATGATGGAAAAAAAGAAGAAGAAGTGAGGTGGAAAGACTGTTTCCTCTGTGTATTTGGTTTCACTAGGAGAGTGGATGCAAACCCATTTATGCTTGTGAGCCTCACTTTGTGCGTTGCCTTGTACCCAACACTCACAAGAAGCCTGGAGACGTTGAGCCTCCTCTAATTATGCACCAGCTCACCTGTAATGGTGTATTAGAGGGTATCAGGATTTGCATGCGAGGATTCCCCAATAGAATGTATTATGCTGACTACAAAATGCGATTTGCTATTCTTGGAGCAGCTGAGATTGCTAGCTCTAAAGATGACAAAGTTGCAGTATATGCTTTGATGGACAAAATTGAGTTTGACAAAGAAAGATATCATCTTGGACACACTCTTGTCTTCTTCAGAGCTGGAGCTCTTGCTAAACTTGAGGAAGCAAGAGATGACATTGTTGGCAAACTCATTAGATATATGCAAGGACAATCATACCAGCGTATCAAAAGGGTTGGATTTTGTAAGCCCAGAGACCAAAGAGAACTTATCAAGGTTTGCCAAAGAAATTTTAAAAAGTATATGTCAATGCGAGATTGGGGATGGTTTATTATTATTCAAAAGTCACGCCCTCTCCTTGGAATGCCAAACCTTGAAGAAGAACTTCGCCAACTGGAGGAAAAAGCAAATGCCACTTATGGTAAATACAAGTCTGCACTTGACACCACTGCATCTCTAGAAAGTGAGCTTGATAACATGCAAGTAGACATCAAAGCTTTAACAAAAACACTTGAATCTGAACAAGGAAACCTTAGTGTTTATACAGACAGGCAATCAAAAGCTACTGCCTTCAAGGCAGAAACTGAAGTTGAATTATCAACACAGCAAGCTTGTCTTTCTTATGAAGAAGCTTCAAGGATAGAACTTACTGCTGAGGTTAAAAAGCATTCTGGTTCCATTAATGTTGTCAAGAAGGATATTGCTATTACCATGGTGGAACAAGAAAAAACTGACAGAGATCATACTATCAAATCTCTCAATGATGAAATTTCAGAGCAGGATGAGGTGATTAACAAACTTAACAAGGAGAAAAAGCATATTGCAGAGACTCAGGCAAAATCTGGTGATGATCTTATTTCTGCTGAAGAAAAGGTCAATCACCTCAACTCAATCAAGTCCAAGCTTGAATCAACTTTGGATGAACTGGAAGGGGCACTTGACAAAGAAAAGCGCTCAAGGGGAAATCTTGAAAAGGGTAGAAGGAGAACTTAAGATGACTCAAGATACAGTTGCAGATTTGGAAAGATCCAGAAAAGAGATTGAAAATACCATTGCAAAGAAAGAAAAGGATATGGGAGGTCTCTCTGCTAAGCTAGATGATGAACAGTCCCTTTTTGCAAAAATGCAAAAGAGCATCAAGGAATACCAAGGTCATGTGGAAGAGTTGGAAGAAGAACTTGAAGCTGAGCGACAGGCTCAGGCTAAGGCAAAAAGACAGAGATCTGATCTTGCAAGAGAAATTGAACAGTTAGGAGAGAGATTAAATGAAGCTGGAGGGGCTACTCATGCCCAGGTTGAATTGAACAAGAAGAGGGAAGCTGAAGTTGGAAAACTCCGCAGAGCTATTGAAGAAACAAATATTCAGCAAGAATCTATTCTTGGGTATGTAAGCAGACTCTTTTAATTTTATTAATGCATAAAAATCCAATTAATACCATGACTTTTATTTAGGAACCTTAGGAGGAAACACCAGGACGCCATTCAAGAGATGTCTGAGCAAATTGATCAACTTCAGAAGATGAATTGAAAGCCAAGATTGAGAAAGATAAATCTCACATTATTGCTGAAATTGCAGATTGAAGAGCTGCCACTGATGAAATTGCCTGTGCTCAAGCATCATCTGACAAATCAAACAGGAATCTCCTTACTTCCCTGAATGATATCAATAAAAGGGTTGGTGAAGCCAACCTTACTCTTGGAGACTTTGAGGCTAGCAAGAGGAAGATAGCTGTTGAGAATGCTGATCTTCTCCATGCAGTAGGTGATCTTGACAACAACTTTAGCATGCTTTTGAAGGTAAAGAGTTCCATTGCTGCTCAACTTGAAGAAGTCAAATCTCTGACTGATAATGAGGCTCGTGAAAGATCTCTTCTTCTGGGGAAATTTCGCAATCTTGAACATGAGGTTGATGGAGCCAAGGAGGCTCTTGATGAGGAATCTTCTTCTAGAGACAATGTACTCTGTCAAGTTGCTAAAGCTGAAGGTGATGCTAACCTTTGGAGAACCAAGTATAAAAGTGAAGCAGTTGCAAAGGCTGAGGAGCTTGAGATGACCAAAATGAGGTTGGTTGCCAGACTTACTGAGGGCGAGGGAACCATCAAACATCTTAATGCTAAGCTCTCTCAAGTAGACAGATCTAGATCTAAGATGCAAGCAGAACTTGATGAAATAACGTCTGGCCTTGATCAAGCCCAGGTCTTAAATGCTGCAATGGAGAGAAAGGCTAAACAATTTGACAAAGTTATCAGAGAGTGGAAACATAAGGTTGATTCTCTATCTTGTGATCTTGATTGCAGCCAAAAGGAAAGTCGCAATGCTTCATCAGACCTCTTCAAGGTTAAATCTGCCTTTGAAGAAAGTATGCTTCAGCTTGATGAAGTAAGAAGAGAAAACAAGACCCTTTCTAATGAGATCAAAGATATCATGGACCAAATCAGCGAAGGAGGAAGATCTATCCATGAGATTGACAAAATTCGCAAGCTTCTTGAGGCTGAGAAACTTGAGCTCCAGGCTGCTCTAGAAGAAGCGGAAGCCACCCTTGAGCAGAAAGAAAACAAGGTTCTTCATGCTCAGCTGGAAATGACTCAAGTTAGACAAGAGATTGAGCATCGTCTTTCTGAAAAGGATGAAGAATTTATGGCTATCAAGAAAAACCAGTCAAAGGCTCTTGAATCTATGCAATCAGCCCTTGAAACTGAAACGAATGGAAAAGCTGAGGCTTTGAGGATGAAGAAGAAGCTAGAATCAGATGTTACAGATTTTGAGCTTGCTTTGGAGCATGCCAATGCTGGAGCTATGGAAACACAATCAACCATCAAAAAGTACCAAAATCAGGTTCGGGATGCTCAGTGCAAGGTTGATGAGGAATCACACATGAAAGCTATTGCTTAAGATAACAAGGTCAATGCTGAACGAAAGGCAGGGCTATGCAAAATGGACTTGAAGAAGCAAGAACAATGCTGTAACAGGCTGATAGAGGAAGGAGGAGCCTGGAGCAAGAACTGGCAAATTCAAATGAGACTCTAGCTGACTTGTCCAATCAAAACCAGGCCATATCGGCTGCTAAGAGGAAGCATGAAAATGAGTTCCAAACTGTAGCTGTAAGTATTTATTAACTTATAATTTCTTAGTTGACTAAAGTCTTAAAAAAATTGTTTTAGCTTGATCTGGATGAAATGGCAAATGAAGCTAAACTATCTGAAGAGAAGGCTGCTAGAGCTATGATTGATGCTGCAAGACTTGCTGATGAACTTCGTTCTGAACAAGAATTTGCCATGTGCCTTGAAAAAGACCGTAAGCTTCTGGAGGCCCAGTGCAAGGATGCCCAGGCTCGTGCTGATGAGGCTCAAGTTAATGCTCTTAAGGGAGGAAAGAAAGCCATGATCAAAATGGAGACAAGAATTAGTGAGCTTGAATCTGAGCTTGATGCTGAAAATAGGAGACTTGGAGATGCTAACAAAAATCTCAGGAAAACTGATCGTAAGGTGAAAGAACTTACTTTTAGTGCTGATGAGGACAAAAAGAACCATGAGCGCATGCAAGCTTTGATCGATCAACTCCAGAGCAAGGTTAAGTCATACAAGAAGCAGATAGAAGAAGCCGAAGAGATTGCTGCTCTGAACCTTGCTAAGTTTAGGAAGGTGGCTGGTGTCCTTGGAGAAGCTGAAGCTGCAGCAGACCAAAATGAACAAGGATGAAGGCTCGTGCCAGGTCTGCATCTCTTGGACCAATGTATAGTTATTTTTTATTCAAATCAAGTAATATCAAGATTATCATTCTTAAATAAATATTTGCAAATGTATGTATTTATTTTTTTCAGAGATTATATGAGAATATTTCATTCTGTAAACTTAAATTATATTTAATTCCAGATGGATAATTGATAGGAATAAGAAAACAGAAAGTTAGATCCTAAATTAATAATATATGATAGATGTGTACAAAATAGATAGATTGAGAATAATTAAGTTAGATAGACATAGATAATAGATATATTAGAAAGTCATAGTTTGATTATGGATAGATTTTAAGGTAGATATTAATAGGTATAATCATGTTTGAATTGATACAAAGTTATATTGTTTAATTTGAGATACACTAATACAGACCGAGCTTTTAAACTATATTAATTTCGATTTTTTCTTTCCTGAAAGCATACACAACTCATATAATAATAAAATGCTTTATCTCATTACACATCTCTGTTCTAACCTTGTTTGCCTCTTCCAGTTTAAGAGCTACAAGATTCATATTGGAAGATACTAATGTTGCAACTCCAAGTCCTAAAATCTGCAGTTTCACATCTGGAAAATAAATTATAAATACATAATAATAATAATAATATTAATATCGTCATCACTCCATATAAAGTAGTAATCTCTTTTTTTCATTTGTTTGGATGTCCGATCATAACTCAGGAACCCGTAAACCGATTTGCTTCAAATTTAGATTGGGGAGAATTATGGGAATATTTTTAGTTTGGTTTTGAGTGAGTAAAAAATAGCTAAATTAGCAATTTAAGCCAAGTTATACAAGTGGTTGAAGTAACTATGGGTATTGAGTAACCTATTCAACGCTGTGTTTTCAAGCAAGTATCTTATATATCTAATGCAGAGTGTAATGATTGGGTGTTTGTATGTTTGTTTTCTTTAGTTCGTCAATCTGAAACATGGCCGATAGTTTTGACAAAAATACAAATACTATGTTTGAAATTTCGTCAGATAAACAACAGATAGAACAAAAGGCTGTTTCTGCCGACAGTTTGGCTGATTTCTTAGTTTCTATAAAACGACGGGCACTGATAGCTAAGTTTAACACTTATATTTCAGATAAAAATTTTGTGCGTTTAGTTTAACAATATATTAGAGGTGGTATTTTCTGTAGATTATTCGTTTCAGAGCGGGATTATTCGTTTTCTGTCAAGTGTTGGGCGATACAGTACAAAATAGGACCGGAAAGGTTGACCAGCCTCGGATATATATTCAAATGTACTACGGCTGCCCGTGCGTAGAAGACGTAGCTAATATGTACTTTTAATAGTCAAACAAATAAAAGACTAAAGTACACGGGCAACACGGTTTGCAGACATTTTTGTTTACATGAAAAATGATATTTGCTAGCTTCAATAAATTGCACTATTTCCTAAAAAGTTACACAAATGAAGTCTAAACTTCGAAAGTTTGTTTTGATTCTAGAATGGAATCCTGATATATGTTTTTTTCTTCTTCAAATTTGCCTTTAGTAAAATAATTGCGCAAAACAATAGTTTGTCTTCTGTGATTCCTGGCATGGTACCCATGGATGGTTAACGGATGGGATTTTAAAAATGTTGACTCAAAAAAATAATATTTTCAAATTTTTGAAAATCTTAAAAAAATATTTTACAAAAGTTTAATTTTAATTTTCAATGTTTGCAGGTATATCGATGATAAAAATTAAAAAAAACTTTATTACAAACCAGTGTTAGGTGTTTTGAAATCTATTCCTGAAACCATGATAAAGATGAATGCTCCAATGATTATGATAGTTTCTCTACTCGCAGTCAAACTTGCAATACTTTGATTCCTGAAAATGTTTACAGTCTTGTTACTTCTTTGCTATTGGTATACACTGAATATATCGCTGATCAATAATGCAGGAGGTATCCTTACTTTTCTCTCTAAAAATTGATTATTTTCCATTCTTGTTTCTCTACAAAATGACTTGGAAGTTTATACTGTATAAACAGTGAAGAAACGACGATATTTTTCTCATTGTTACTCAGATAGATAGATAGATCGGGTTCCTTAAAATTACACCCCTCTGATTGGTTGGAAAAGGTACCTGAGGTATCTCAGGATAACAATAAGGTTTGCTGAAACCATTTTAGAGAGAATTGATGCTCCAACTGCAATCCAGAACATACTACTCTAGTCAAAAACAAAAAAGTGTTAATTAATAAATATATTTATATATACATTTTTTGAGTTTTAGAGGACATTACGCGAAAAATATGAATTCTCTCAATCTACGCGCTCTTGCAGTAACAACAGTTAGCTAAAAATACTTGGGCGGCAGCTCACGGTTTCATCGTGGATTTTGGAAGAAAGTCTGCACTTGCCAAAACTAAAACGGTAAGGTGCGATTGAGCAGAAACAATCTTCCAGAATCCATCATGAACACGTAATAATAATCACATAAAATACTTTTCAAATTCAGGTTAGCTCCTCTTCGCTTGGCAAATTGAAAAAAAAACTGAATGGAATCAGCTGTTTCTGGCCAGGAAGTTGAGAATGTAAGCCGTAAGTGCGTCATTTAGACAAGGAATAGAGGAGCAGACATTATGACGAGCTTGTATAGTAGAGAGAATTGAGATATACTAAATTCATATGTGGTTCTCCATTCAAAATTTAAGGCAAATCGGTAGAAGGGTTAAAGAGAACAGGCAAACATATAACGTTGTAATCTCTGCTTGTTTGAATGATTTGGATGTCCGATCATAACTCACCCCTTCAAATTTTGATTGAGGAACTCGGTAGAATAACGGGAATGTTCTTAGCTTATAGTTACAAATTCTAACTTGCTTGGGTTAACTTTTATAGGGAAAATATTGTTTCCAAGCAAAGCTGGGTTCCAAAGCCAGTTCTAATCTCCTGTTTGTTTAACCCCTTTACCGATTTGCCTCACATTTTGAATGGAGAACCACTTGATGTTTTTAGCTTGATTTTTTAGAAGTTATAAAGGGAAATCTTATATTCCAGGCAAAGCAGGATTGCCAAGCTATTATTTTATGCTTTGGTTAAAATTTAAGTTTTACGCCCCCCCCTCTTTTATTTTTACCTATTTTCAGGGGTTTCCTCCGATGTAAATAGAAAGGGTGGCTGAAACAATTAGTTTTTGTTAAAAACCATTTACTATCATTTTGTAATAATGAAAAGTAATAGATAAGATTGTTTTTTTGATTTTTAAACTTAAAGGGCATGTAATTGCTTAATTTCATGTGCACTTAAAGGGACAGACCGGCTTTGTAAGGTAGTTAAACTGAGTATGCACTATGCAGTGTTGTGGACAAATTTTTTAGGATTCATTTGAGACATATAAAACTTTTTAAAGATCTGTAAATCCTGAGTTTGAGCGCAAAGTCGACGTTCAAAACTGTACTTTTGGATGGATACGTAACGTTTTCAGTATTGTTTTTTTTAAATTATTAAATAACGACGACAAAAAATGTAAACAAAATTCTACAGTAAACTAATTAGTTGTTTAGGAAGCGGTTGAGAAAATAAAAATTAATCTTTTCATCGAAAATAAGTCATCTTATTCAATTATTAGTTTCTACATTCTCTGATTATTCACAAATATTTTCTGCAGATTTTCTGGAATTTTTATTGAAAAGACGACATTTGAAATTTTTATAGAAATCTGCGAACAAATTCATAGAAAATAAGAAATTCAATATAATGATGAAAATGAAATAATTGATTCTAACATTGATTTTTTGAACAATCTCTTTGTGTTGAGAAATGTGTTCCTGAACATCTAATTAGTTTACTGTATAATTTTTACTTTATTTTTCGTCGTCGTTATTTAATAATTTAAAAAAAAACTGATTCTGAAAACGTACCCACCCAAATTCTTTAACGCCGACTTTGCACTGAAACTCAGTAATTATACATCGTGTAAACGTTTTATATGTCTCAAATGAATCCTAAAGAATTTGTCCACAACACTGCATACTCAATTTAACTACCTTACATAGCCGGTCTTTCCCTTTAATGCAATTCACAAGGATACCCTCCAAAGCTTTTTCTGATCAAATATGAACTAAATATCAATGTTTATAATGTTAAAAACAGATTATTCTATACGAAAGGGACAGATTCAGCTTTCAAGGGTAGCTTTGTAAATCGAGCAGTGCCATCTTTGTATGAAGGGTTCCTTGAAATTCCGTGTACAGTCTCTTTACACAAAATCAAGTTTATGCACTATGCACTACACTAACCCCTATATTTTTGTTAACATAACACTTTCTGCTAAAACCCACCGAAACCTTAGTTAAGGGGGTTAATAGTATATTGCAGTTTTTGAACATGAACTTTGGACCGAGAGCTGTTTACATTTTTCCAAAAACTACAGTACACTATTTTTGTAAACAAATATATGCGACATCTTCCCATAGCATGAGATTACCTTAATAACGAGAACTACGCCAGCCATCATAACAACAAGAGAAACAATATTTAAAACTCCAAAAGATTCCTTTAGGAATAATCTTGCTGACAAACTAGGTTAGAATTTCTAATTACACATTTGTTTCGAAATTTTAGTAAAAAAAGTGCAATAATGACTTTTTCAATGAATTTTTCGTACAAGAAGTATCAAAATAAATTTTCTTAATATTCTTCAAATACAACGGATGACATTTTAAAAACGACTTGGAACTTTTAGTACTGTGATAACATTTTTTATTTACTTATTATTGTTAAAATATCTGCGATTTTTTAATATTATAATTAATTCTGTATACCTGACAAAAATAGGTTGAAGAGCATTAATCATCTGAAAATTCCCCAAATTAAGATTTTGTATTGCAAACATGTCTGATAAATAAAAAATTCAGCCATCATAACAACAAGAGAAACAATATTTAAAACTCCAAAAGATTCCTTTAGGAATAATCTTGCTGACAAACTAGGTTAGAATTTCTAATTAATATTACACATTTGTTTCGAAATTCAACAAAGAAAGAGCTATAATAACTTTTTTTGCAATGAATTCTTCGTATAATAAGTAAAAAATAAATCTTCTTAATATTCTTAAAAAAAGCTTATTCTCACAGTTTCAAATATAACAGATGACATTTTAAAGACGACCTGGAACTTTTTAATAGCGTGATAAACATTCTTTATTTACTTATTATTGTTAAAATATCTGTGATTTTTTAATATTATGATAAACTAGCTGGAGGGCCAGGTGTGGCCCATGGAAAAAAAAATTTAGAAAAAAATTTGAAATTTGAAAGAAAAATATTTAAATTTGAAAGAAAAAAATATTTTTGATTTTAGCCTGTAACACCCATGAGTGTCCACAATTTTTTTAGCCCAGTCTAGCCGTTTGGCGGGCTTTAGGCAACATATATATAAATATACAAATGTCTTGTTTTATTATATAGATTTTGTATACCTGACAAAAATAGGTTGAAGAGCATTAATCATCTGAAAATCCCCCAAATTAAGATTTTGTATTGCAAACATGTCTGATAAATAAAAAATTCAAAAATCGTCAAAATGTTTAGAAACTAAATATTTCTTGCTGCCATCAATGCGTGGAAGAGAGTTTTTTATTTATTTTTTTTTCTCTTAAAGGAACTGTAAGCGTAATTTCAGGTGACCCTCTAGACAAAGATGGCATTGCCTGATTCACAATGTTACCCTTGAAACTTTTATCTATAGTTTAATAATGTGAAAGTTATTTTTGTAGGATTAAAAATTCTAAATTCTGATAATTCCTTTGTGGTTTTCCTGCACTGTAGATATGAGCAAGAAACTTTTGCAGAGAAACCACAATTGAAAATAATTTGTTTTAGAAATAAAAAAAATGATTTCTTATTCACACTTGATAAAAAACGATTTTAAGGTGAATCTTTGAATGGTGTATCACTTTAAATTACACTTCCGCTTACAGTCCCTTTAAAACTATTATTTTTTGACCTTTTTTTAAAAGATTTTTTTTTGGCAGCAAAGTAAACGATAATGGTCCAATGGAAATGAGTTTTTGCCACAAACTCAGATTTTCTAATCCCTGTATCTTCGCAAATCCAATATCGTAGACCTTCTGTTAGACCAAATAACCAAAGTTTGATATATCAAAGGTTTACACCATCAGGTTGCAAAGACTTAGGGATTAGAAAATTTAGGTTTGTTGCAAAGACTCAATTCCTTTGTATCCATTTTAGATATTAATAATCTTATAATGGTTAGTTGTGAATTATAATATTTATCTTGTTCACATGTACGTACGTGAAGCAAATTTAGCGTTTTTCTTCAAACCTGTAGCTGCCGAGGTTAAAGCAATCACACCTCTTATAATAAGAACACACCGAAACTGAAAATTGAAACAATTAATTGAGGGAATAGATAATGTAATTTTATTATGATATCCTGTTTAACTGGTACGACTTTGGGACTTCTTTACTAAATAATTATCGATTGCACAACTGGTACTGTATAATATTTATTAATCCTGGTTTAATCTGAGAAGGGTCCAATGATTTGAAATTGTATTTTGCATAAGTTTGCTTTTGTAAAACATGCAAATTCGTTATCCTATGTGAAAACACCTTTTTAAAGTCTAAAAACATAAAAGTTTCTGTAAAACGAATCCCGAACTGCAGGTACTAGTCAAACTAAAATAAATTGCACGCTAGCTTGAAATATTATATGTGTTTAATCATAACTTCTCTTATTGAAGAGATATTGAGAAGAACATGAATGTTTTGAATTTCTAATATATTGTAAGTGTAAGCTGTAGGAGTAATGTTGCAAAAATCTTACCTTCATCTAACGGAAAATGCTTTTTATTTTTAAAATCCGAGTTTGTTATATTGTTTGAGGAGAAAACGTTTGTAGATGAAAATTATAAAAAAAGAGGGGTGCAAAGCGTCCTGAATGTTATATAAAGATTACCCAGTATGATTGAAAAGACGGAAATGCTGGTTTATCTACAGCTATCGACCAAGGTATAGACACAGAGAATATCACAAAGCTTCTAAACAAATATTTTTTGTTGAGAAAATAACCTTTTTCTGACTTTACACGGAATTTATTAAGTCTTCCAAGAAACATAAGAATTAAGAGAATTGAAAATCGTGTTTGATTTCCAATAGTTGGTTTATAACAAAGAGTGTATGTAATAAGACTGTAAGTCGAATCAAGGATTTAATGCAAAGAAAGTTATTTCAGAGGTGTACGCATCTTTTGTACTGCAGTGTACTGTTACTGGGTGGTAATGTAACCACAAGACGGATGTCGAAGCCTGACATAGGATCCATCTTTCACATAAATAATCAATTAAATATTCTTGTCATAGGAAACTATTATGTTAATTATCAAAATTATCAAAATTCAATGCTTTTAACCTCCTCGGGTACTAAAAGAACACTGATGCATCTGTTCTTGTTTACAAATTCCGCCCAGAGAGAACTGGTTTCACCATTAATGAATCCAAACCAGATCAAATTTTCCAAGGTAGAAAAAGTCGTGAATAAATATATAGACAATTTTCAAACAGCCATGTTTCCTCGGCTTTCAAGGTTTATGTGAATAAGTGGTAAAGATACTTGATTTTCTCAGCTCCTCCTGTCAATTTGAAATATGTATTTTTTCTATTCATCATTTTGCAGAGCTGCACTGTGTTGGTGAATACTCTTCCAATATTCTCTCCTTTTATGTGATAAGCAAATTACTCACTAAAATCAACAGTACACTGTTCTTTTTTTCCAATTCTCCTCTACACCTATCCTCAATTTCGGTCAAATAAATTTTTTGTGGTTTTTTCTGTGTGGGCGGCCTTTCATTTTTAACATCCTTTATCGGCTGTCCTGACGAATGTATTGTATGTAGAATGTCTGGTAGATATATAAAAGTTTAAAAAAATGTTTATCATTAATCGAAAAAATAAACATTAGAAAAATATATTAAATACATAATTTGATTTTCAATATCTTCGTTAATGTTAAAGGTGGAAAAGGTATTGAGTCTTTGTAACAAACTCTGATTTTCTAATACCTATATTTTTTCCACCTGATAGTGTAAATCCATAGAGAATAGAATATATATTAGAGGGGAAATTAAAGAATCTCTCGGTATGAATTTTTTCAGTCCCTTTCAGCCTGAAAGGGAGTTCAAAGTGTACAAATCATGTAAATGTTCACAAATTATATGAAGTAGAGCACATTAATACAGTATGTTCCCTAGACTATTCATTTCAATTTCGAATTTTTTAAACTGTTAAATAAACTTTACAATGAATTAGGTAAATAAAAACATCATTTGATTTATAGTTATAATGGAAAATCATCGTTTGTAAAGTGAAAGGCATAGAGTCTATGTGAAACGATCATTGATCAATTATGAAACCAGCCTATTTCATAATTTTGGTTTTTTTTTTAACAATAATTTTAGATTTTCTATAAAATGATATTCCAGGGCCCAAAAGGTTATATAGCATAAATATGTGAAGTACANCATACCTATATTTTTTCCACCTGATGGTGTAAACCTTTGATATTTCAAACTTAGATTTTTTCATCTAACAGAATTCATAGTTTGAAATATCTAAGGTCTACGGCATTGGATTACAAAGATATAGAGATTAGAAAATCATAGTTTGTGGCAAAGACTCTATTCCTTTGTAGACCACATACCGGAAATTCTAAGACATATAGTTTTCTGTGTATAAACTTTAAACTTATATTTATATTTAACTAAATGCATGCTTAAATTTTGTTATTTTTAATAAACAGTTTGCGTAATCGATCGTCATATTTAAATAATAAAATAGAATCTTATGTTTAAACAAAAATCAAAATAGTCTCCCAGGAATGTGAAATGTGTATACAAGATTTAATCAAGAGAGGGGGGGGTTACTGCCCCAAGGCCCCACTGTATGTGCCCCTACAATGTCCCATATAGAATTAGAAACACTCTCCAAAATTTAAACAATGTTTTAGCATGAAAATCTGTGGTGGTTGATCTCGGCGTTGAATTGCGTTATTTTAAATTTTTTTTTATTTTCATCATTGATTTTAAAGAAAAAAAGATTTACAAACTTTAAGACAGAGCAGGCTAAAATGTAAATGCTTGAAAACTTTGTGTAAAACAATCTGCACTAAATTAAGTATATTTCATCAAGGAATGTCTAGTGAACATTCATTTCAAAAGTTGCATACCTGATTCACACCACCCTTTACACCCTTGGAGAATAAATTAGGATTTTAGTATTGTTTTTCATAAGGAATTCACTCAGCCTGTCTTTCTTGTTTTTGCTGTGTAAATACGCAATTTACAATTTCTAGAAAACTCATCTACAATTCTCAATTTTGTGTAGAAAAATAAACGATGCCCTTATCATTTTTGCTATAAGAAAGTTTTGAAGGGTGTACTATTGTGAATCTGGCATGCTACTTTTTAATTGACAGTTGACAGTTCCTTAAATACCTGTAAAAAAGAAGAAGAATAGGATGGAGGTCAATTTTTTTCATAACAACGTAACAAAGAGACATCATAAGGGTCTAAACAGAATTCATGAGGGTCTAAACAGTATTCATGAAGGTCTAAACAGAATTTATGAGGGTCTGAACAGTATTCATGAGGGTCTAAACAGAAATAATGATGGTCTAAACAGAATATATGAGGGTCTCAGCAGTATTCATGAAGGTCTAAACAGAAATAATAATGGTCTAAACAGAATATATGAGGATCTGAACAGTATTCATGAAGGTCTAAACAGAAATAAATAGGGTCTAAATAGAATATGAGGGTCTCAGCAGTATGCATGAGGGTCTAATCAGTATTCATGAGGGTCTAAACAGAATTAATAAGGGTTTAGTATTTATAAT